AAGAGATCCTATCACTTGATTATCTCAGTAGATACTCTTAAAGTAGGGGTAATATGTACATAGCTCTTTAGCCAGATATGTTTTCCTGATAAGACATCTGTCGAGAGAGAACCACTTTGTAAACTAAATTTGGGATCTGTTCAAATGACACCCTCTTTGTTTACAAATTTGGTGTTATCACTTAAAGTCTTTTCGCTGGTTATGCCTCCCTCTAATTTAAAATATATTGCAGTCTTTTGTGATCTGTGAGTATTGCATTAGTATTTACTTCTACCTGAATTTACTGTACTTGTTCTTTCTTCTAAAGCCTCTAGAAAGATTTTTTCAATTGATTCATAGTGACACCTTAAGATCGAAAAGATTCCTAAATTATCAGCCAAGGATGTGATCTACTCTTGGCCACTGTATTAAGCTAGTAGATTTGAACTCAGATCTGTGACTTCTTTTTCACTGCTCACTCCACAAATCTGAGCAGTCTTTTAGTCTTTCCTGACCTCTGCAACCTGTATATTATTTTTATGCTTTTGCATAAGATACAATTGAGGCTTTTGTCTGAGTTTTATCTGCTACTGCAGTGGTTAATTCTATTCCGTTGACCAACGTTTCAAACTGTTATATATTTTTTAATGATTTTATTTTCCATATCTCCAATACTTCAAAAAAGTTCATACATATGATGGATGAGATCTATTTTTAAATCATTCCTAAGTAATTGTATTGAAAACATTATTTGGTCTGCAGATTTTATTCACACTGTAAATGATATGGATTTTTAACAAGGGCTCTGTTGATGCTACAGTACTGGCCTAGCTTGGAAGAACCAGCTGCTGTTTAGAGAAGTGGATGGAGGTTTTTTTCAGGTGGGCATTCTCTTGTTGGCAGTGGAGGGACATTTCTTGAAGTTGTTTCCTGCCTAGGCCTAGCCACCTTTAAGAGTTAATACCATCTTTTTTCATTGATGAAAAAGGAAGCAGGGAATTTTTAGAGGTTAATCAAAACCAAAATAAAGAATAGAGGGTGGTAGAGGAGCATAACCACTGATGACCCTGTCACCACATTTTTTTTACAGTGAATCCTTCTACAGAGTCTTCGTCATAACAATCTTCTGGGTTTCTTTGTTAGGTGTTCTTAAATGTGGTTTAAAAACTACTGATTTTGTATTGTCTATAGTTGAACCATTCATTTCTTTAGGATCTAGAAGAATTATACTCATAGTTGAATACACCATAGTCAAACACATCCATACAAAGTACGTGGACTTCTCCCTCTATTTAGCTACCAAAGTATTACAAAGATATTTAAAACACTGGTCTTTTTGTTGTCAATATTTTGAGGTGTATGATGAGTAAATGGAACAGCCTTATGTCTCTCAACTATAGAACTGTCAAGAAGAGTTGGTCTTTTTTGCCCATCACCCGCCAAATGCAGACTATTTCAGAATCCATTACAGAAAAAATAGTTGATTTTAAGTTAAGGATGACCCTAGCAACCATTTGCACTATATTGATGTCAAAAGTATCTCTCTGCCAAGCTCTAAAATGCGTCTTCAAAAACTACTGAAAATATCCAAGAACTTTAGTGATGAGCTACAAATGGACTTTGGTATTGATAAATAAAAGTCAATATGTATAGTGAAAGGACAACTTACTGTGATAAATGGGCCCACCATCAGTAAAGATCAAATTATTGACTATCTAGGCCAAGGAAAAACCTGTCTATAGCTAACTTCTACAGGTGAGAAGAATTAGCCACAACAGCAATTTAGGAAAAGCTCAAAGAGACATGTAAGGAGAATTCATTAAAAATACATACAAAAGTCAGCAGCAACATTCTGTTAACAAGTACATTTGTGGCGCTCGGCTAATGTATTTCTTTGGCCATGCTTGGGTTCACACCTTTTGCTTTTGCCTTCAGTGAGCTCCTTTTGGGCTACCCATATTTTCTCTCAAGGAAATCTAATTCAAATATCACTTCCTGACTACCCTATTACAGGGGAATTACCTCTGCACTCCTAAAACCATGTCACTCTTGGAATATTGTTTCTAATGCTCCTCCTAGTTACTTTTCATTTACCTCAACTAGATCACAAGGTGTATGAGGGCACATTAAAAATGCCTTCATTTTTTTACCCCTCACATAGTCTAGCACAGAGCTCTACCCACAATAAGCACTAGATCAATATTTGATCATTTCAACATTTTTGAAATGATTCATTAGAGAAGCTTTGGTCATGCATCATGTCAGAGTTTAATGATGAAATATCACAGGAAACACTCAAAAGAACAATTGCAAAGATTAGCCTATTAAAAAAAAAAGTGGAATGGCAGTAACTAACCTCTCCAATGTCTGTTGTTCCCAGTTGACAGAATGTAGGCGTTTCTTCTATAGTAAATTTAATTGGATGCTCTGTAAACTACCCAGTAAAAATGACAAATCTTGTACCATCTCAAATTGAGAACCTGAAGTATAATTAAGCAAAATATCTGAAGAGTAACCATCTCTACTCTCCTACCCCCACACAAACCACACCCTCCAAAATCAGAGGTGGAGACAAAACTAACTGCATGGTACCTACTAGTGTGAGTCCAATGAAGATCATGCAGCTAAAACTACATCTAACTTTCTGGCTTTCTCGAGAGGAGTGGGATGTCAGTTCATCCTGGGACCACTTTATTGCCACTAAAAATGGTTGTAGACATTTACTTCGTCATCCTAATACCATGATCTCTTCCTCTTTGAGGCCCCTGTGTCTACAGCAGAGTGTTATTGGAGGAATGAATAAATGAATGAAAGGATGAAAGTTTTAAATTATGAAAGAACAATGTATGGGATGACAAGTGTAAAGCGTTTGCCCAAATAAACACAGATGCTACCTCATTGGCTGTCATTTAGATTTAGCTGTATGGTTAATTCCCTATTGTAAATACCAATGTAAATATTTCAGAAAATTAACAACTAAGAAATATAGAAACAAAAATTATTAAAACAGGCCAGGAAATCTTGACTAATATAATAGTATTCTACAACTTTAGTGCATTTAATTATTTCACCTAAAATTTCACAAAAATCTATGGATTCAAAAATAATCTTATAAATGTGACCTAAACCAAGGAAAATTAAGTTAATGGCAGCTACACCAATAACCACTTTGGCCATACATGTCCCTTCTTCCAAATTACAGACTACTCCATATTACCATTTTGCAAATATGCATCCTTCATCTCAAGTGGGCCTCAACAAGAAACTGAACAGATCTACCTGAAGATAATTCAAAGTACGTATCCTTGGATCAGGAGTATATCTAGCATGGTACATCTGCTTTATTCATTTGTTCATTCATTCCTTCCACAAATCCTTTGAGAATACCTTCTAAGGCCCTGGCACTGTTATACACCCAGCACAGAGAGGTGAATGAAACAGACATGGTACCTACTTCCATATTTTTTTTTCAGAATATTCAAATGCACAAAATGAAAAATTGGATTCATTTATTTAAAATCAGATTTTCACACATTTTTTTTTCTCGTATTTTGTTCCCAAACAAAAAGTTTTAGAGAAGCAGTGAATTCAAACTCCATGCTCTCACTTCCACAGAACAGAGAAGTACTATGTGTGTCCTGAGAGGGTTGGTGAAACCGTTGAAGAGAATACTTTGACCAGAATTATGTTGCTAGTCTCCTTTAAAGTGTATATATGTGGGCCCCAGGTTATGATCACGAACCCTGTGCACACCCCCATGAAAACAAGACGAGTGTGGGAGGTGTGGAGCTCTACTAATGCTGCTTGGACCTTAAGCAGCACTCCTTTGTGTCACTTATTGAATGTGTGAAGTAAGACAGGCTCTAGCATCTGCATTTGTTCTCTCATCTCCTAATGGGGGGTTAGGAACAGCAGCCAAGACCACGCCCCTGTGCCAACAAACATGTTATTTCTCGTATGACATATATTTTCTTTATTGCATTTATAGCTTACAAATAATACGTTGCATGTGTTATCAAGACCTGAGGAGACAGTGATAGTGTCTACTGCAGCAATCTGTGATAGACAGAATTCCAATGTAGTCAATAATATACATATTTATGTTGTTTCGCTTCAGACAACTAAGTATGACATAATTTATATTATTGCAGGCTTGCTTTGTTTTGTTATTCACAAAGTTTCTTTGTGAAGACAATGTCCACTTATCCTGACAAATGGTTCCTGAACAAATGTAATATGGTAATATGTTACTTATAAAGATAATTTAGACCAAGTATTACAACTTGTAGAAAAATGTGGAAACTCAAGTCTATGTTTCTCTAGCAGAACTAGTGGTTGCACTGTGTTTATAGGGAATTTTAGATTCCTTTGCTAGCTTTGGTTTCTGTTCATAATTCCTACTCAGAAAATAATATCTCCTGACAAGTTGTCTAGAGACCTACCATCCGCAACACCAGCCCTCCTTATTATCATTTGCAATGTATTCATTCTATATTTCAAAATTTATTTTTATAGGGCTTTTTATTTGGTGTTTGGTACCACAGTTTTTAATTTGATGAAAGAGAACCAAAATGCATAAAAAGTGTTCATCAACTGTGATTTGTGCGACAAAAGGAACGACTGCACCAGCCTAGAGCTGGTCTTTCTAATTGACTAGCCCGAAGTTCTTCTCTCTGTGTCCTGTTGCCGTTAATTGACTATATTGTTTTAGATTTATGCGTTACAAAATACGATTTCTACTTTGAAAGGATCACTTTGTTACTTTGTAGCTTTTAAGCTGATGCCATGAACTTATTTTTCTTCTAAGATAAAGTCTCATCTATAGATTTTTCAACTAATTACATGTCTGCCAATACATTCTTAGAGGATGCATTTTATTTCAATTTATTATTTGTGTTTACAGAGTGTGACCCTGGAAATATCAGTGGAACTGAAAGGAAATGTTTTAATAGTGTTTATCACTACTTTTTCATTGCTCTCTTTCTCTTTCTTTTCTCACTCTCTCTCTCTTTTTTTAATAGCTCCAGTCAGTCTGGTCAAGCATGACAGCAACTCAAACTCGGCGAACTTCCAAGACACCGAGGACATGCCTGACAGATGTGTCTTCGAAGAGTCTGAGAGTCCAGGTGAAAGCCATTTAAAAATAGTCAAGTATAAAATGATAAATTTGACACAGCTTTGGGGTCTTTGGAAGGGGGTGGGGGAAGAGGACATTGTAACGCTGTTTTCTCTTAGCAGCTGCACTGTCAAATTAATGGTCACCTCCAGGGGTCACAGTGTGGAGCTGTTATCTTTTCCGCTTTCATCAAGAATTCAGTTGGAGGAAGTACAAAGGCTTTATGACTGAGAAGGGAAGCTGACACTATTAGTTCATTATCATCAATTTTAGGCTAAACTGGTTAATAGAGGCAGAGATTGGAAACTGGAGAAATGCAATATTTTAAATATTTCAAATAATGGGATCAAGCGGAAGTGGAGAGTTAAAGAGAAACAAATTGTCCCCATTACTACCTATTTACCTTTCTAAATACAAACAGAACTCTAACTGGGATGAGAGGATTTTAGCTTCACAGTGATGGACTAATGGACGTTGTCAACCGTTCAGAACAAAACAAAAGAATGTAGTAACCCTTTCTCACGCAATAAAATTTACCCTACATCCAAGTTACATATGTTTGTATTTTCTTTGTAGAAAAAATAGACAGAAATATACTGGAAGGATTCGGCCAGAAACACTTTAGCATGGGTTTTTGTTTCTCTTTTTGTTTTGTTTTAGAGCATGCCTAATCTTAACTAATTAATTAAAAGGGAAAAAGACATCTTTTGAAAGTTGAATGACATTCCCGGATCAGCACAAAGCCATAGGTGCTAGAGGGAACCTTATTACCATAAGTGGAAGAGTTAACTATCTCCCCCCACTGAACGTTTTTCCTCCCTGTTTTCTCGGGCTGCCGTGTACCCTCTACCCTCTTGCATCTTTGTGTGCTGATCCATGTATCAGATTTTTGATTCATCCTCTCTGTGGCCTGTCAGCTTAGTTAAGAGATTTCCAAATCTTGTAGCCTTCGCTGACAGGGGGCAGCTGCAAACAGTCCCCTGATCCTTCCCTGAGGAGAGCTACTGAGATTTAATTTTCAGTGAAAGGTGCAGCCTGCAATCTATGTCATGTCCCCTAAGTCATCTCGGAACCCCAATAGGCCCAGTGGCGCTGGCATTGTATTTCAGTCCCCTCCACCACACCAAGATTCCTCAAAGATGAACTGCTGCTGTGTGTCTTCTCAACCACACTCCTGCTTTAGCATCCCATGGAGCTGAGAAATGGCATCTTTAGCAATGACAGAAATTTTTAATCAGCACATTAACCCCACCCCTGCCATAATATCTAGAAGACAAATGTAAATTAGTCTTACTCTAAAAGAGAGAGGGTAGTGGTAGCATTAAATTTCTATGAAAAAACGAATTTAAAAATTATTTTTAGTTTTGACTAAAATTGCCTAATTTTGACTAGGTTTTTGAACTGTCTTAATAAACAGTTTTCTATCAACCATTTGTCAGGCAGCCAAATTCATGAGTCAAGTTTTTACATAAGTGTTCATTGTTTTCAGCAAGAATAGATCAGCTTTATACCGTTTTGGAAGTAGAATAAATTTCTGTCATCCCTCAATATAGGTGGAACTGTCGTGGGATTCAAATATAAGATAGTCTCTCTGATTGATACAAACAAAAGGATATATCAACACAGAAAGATTAATTAGCAAATATAGGTGCTGATAAAGAATCTTAACTTAAAAAGTGAGTACTGTTCTATATATCGGACATCATTAAACTGGTAATAAAGAATGAATTACTCTGGCTTTTCCTCTGTCCATTCCTGCATTTTAAGACGTCTTGCCTTATAGGCCTAGAAACCTCTAGAGAGTTCACTACTGGTCTCACTGCCTTCCACTGAGAATTTGTGGCTTGGTTGTCATGGAGACATCGTATTTCTCCAAGAATTGCTCATATTGATCCGTGGCCAGGCGTAAATGGCCAAGCGAGTGTGAGGAATAAAGGGGGCTGGGCAGTCCTATAAAATGACCAGGGCTTGTGGGTTGGAAATAAGCTCATAGCACACACTTAGGTAAAAAGAAAGAAGCAGTTTTATTTTGTTTCAGGATTTCTTTCTGCACTTTGGGCCATTGTCTTCTTTCACTATGAACTGAAAGAAACTTGTTAGTCACTTGTCATGTCAGATCTTTGGTGCTTGTCCTGACACAGCTGTCAGCCTTCCAGCTCTGTGCAGTTCAGGGACACACAACAAAGAGGCAGTGACATGAATTATTTATTGCTCCTTGTGTGGATAAAATTCTGTGATAAGAAATTAAGACACTTCTGACAGGGGTGCTTGTTTACTAAGAAAGATTTTGATGATAGAGTGCATTTCCTTGAAGTATGAGCATTTGAGAGGCAAAATTCTTAAAACTGAACATGAAGGAAGATTTGTGAAATTGGTGGCATAGAGAGACTTTCTTGAACTGTGAAAAGATGACTGTCCACTTGTGTCCAAAAATTAACTTCAAAATATCAAGTCGTTGAAATGCAGGGGCTCCAAAACTATAAACATTACTTTATATGGTGATTGAGTTACCTCTATTTACCAGGTATGAGTGGTGTTTCTCTGGAATGTAGGTTTAACCACCTTTGTTGGAAGAAAAAACAAAATTGGGGATTTTAAAGTGATAAGCTTTGGGAAGATGTCTTCAAACCAACAGAGGTGCTTCGGTAGCTAAGCTTATAATTGCATTACAGTCATGCGTCACTTAATGACAGGGCTGAGAAATGCATCGTTAGGCGATTTTGTCGTGCAAACATCATAGAGTAATTACACAAACCTAGTTGTTATAGCCTTCTACACACCTAGGCTATATGGTACTAATCTTATGGGACCACAATTGTGTATGCGATTCGTCGTTGATGGAAACGTCGTTATACAATGTGTGACTATAGTATATTCGTTATTCCTTGTATGGAAAGGAGTGCATTTAAATCTGAATGCATCGTTCTTACCATTTTCACCTGGAATATTTATCACTCATTTAAAATTCCATTTAACATTTTCATGTACATGCAAAATCTCCCAGTTACAAAGTTGAATGCGGTCAGTCTTCTAGCTTTAATGGATATTGACCTTACATGGTTTTATCTATTCAATTCTAAATGACTAATATATTTATTACATCATTTTTAATGAATAGACCAGTTGTTCAAACAGCATGTAGAAAATGAAAACAAAAAATCATTTTCCCATCCAAGCACAGTTCAAGAATGTTGCCTCATATATTGTTCTTTCCAAAGTCTTTTCTTTACACATCCTCTAAACATCATTTTAATTTAGCTCTTATGGCTTCATATTGCTAATACCAGCTCATTTGCATATGCAGAAAGCACAGAAAAACTAAAATAGTTTTTGTGTGTGTGTGAGGAAGATCAGCCCTGAGCTAACATCCGTTGCCAATCCTGCTCTTTTTGCTGAGGAAGACTGGCCCTGGGCTAACATCCATGCCCATCTTTCTTTACTTTATATGGGACGCCGCCACAGCATGGCTTGACAAGCGGTGCGTTGGTGCACGCCCGGGATCCGAACCTGCCAACCCCAGGCCGCCGAAGCAGAGCACGTGCACTTAACCGCTTGTGCCACCGGGCCGGCCCCTAAAATAGCTTTTTTTGAAGGTGAAGTTGAAGTTTTTAAAACATTGATAGAGCATTTTAAATGTCATTAATAAAATCAAGTTTTTAGAATATATATAAAATGGTAAGATTGACTTTGTGAATTGATTATCTTTGAATACAATGGGTTTTGAACTCAGTCTGTTTGAACTTATTTTTCCATTGACATCACTGCTTCTCCAGCACTGAATTGACTAGGATGACCCATTTGTAAATGGGCTGGCATGTGCATATAGGTCACAATTTAGATGCCTAGTGAAGTGGTCATTCACCTGGTCTCTAGAGCGCTCTATCCTATTCATCATGCCATCGTGATCTCTTTATTGGTTCAAGCCGTATACCCAGGTGAGTGCCTATAGTCCATTAAGGTTGGCAAAGCAACTTTAGACCAGAGTATTCTTGTTACTCTGACCCTGCTAGTGAACCTGGAGGTCTTGTCTGATAGGTTAAGTCTCCCTCAGCAGTGTCTTTTCTTTGGAATAATTCATTAGCAAAGAGTTTTGACTCACAGGTGAATCCCAGATTGAAGTTTCTAGCTTAGACTCTGTGAAGTCTACTTGCTTCTTCACTGGCATTTATACATTCCTGTAACCTGTGGGAATAGCGTTGCTGTCTAGTAATAGAAGCACTGAGACAACATCGTGAACTTGCAGCTCCCTTTTTTGAGATTTTAGGGCCATTAGGCTTTCTTTCTTTGGCTTTTTAAGGCCTGGTTGCTTCTGAATTTGAAAGATGCTATCACAAAAATAGTTCAGTCTAGTCTTTTGCTGGTTAACTTCTTGTTAACCATTTCATGCACAGTGATTAAAGCTCAATTCCCATTCTCCAGAATATGATAAAAAGTGTTCTTTGCCCCTCACCTTTTTACTTCTGATGATAAAAACTTAGTGTGACATCACAATTTTTGTCCAAGTGTTAATGAGAGACTTTGAGCTTTTATTACCCTATTGGCTTGGAAAATTAAGAATTGTACTTCCTAGTGCACTAGGGACAGTGCACTATTTTCAGCTGAAGCACTTACATATAGCTTCAGCTGAAAATAGTAGTGACAAGAGAGAGCTTGAAAGTACAAATAAAAGCATTCAGATAAGCGTTTTCATGTCATTCTGAAGTAGTTTATAATCAGCATGCATTCTGTCATTAATAGAACATTTTAGTGGTTTTATATAGCACGTTATGCATGTAGTGCTAAATACATCAGTGTCAATCAATATTGCATTTGCATGTATCTGATGAACAAAACTAGATTTCTCGCAGTTTCTAGGGGATGCTTCATGTGAAAAGCCAAGGTGGATTTTTTTTTCCTTTACTATTCTGGCTCATGAATCACTAGCAAAAATCAGGTAACAGAAAGTAGGACAGATTCAGGACTGGAGTGTTGGAGATGGCTGATGATGATGCATGGAGCAGAAAAAATGTGGAACGTGTGAGCAGCCCATCAATCATAGCCATCGAGAACACACTTCTTATGGTTAGTGCTAAAAAAAGTGTTCTAGAAGAAATAAAAACAATTTCAGTAGTAAAAACATATAAGCTCTTTCTTCTAGTTGTTTTTAACAATATCAATATTTTAAAAAATTTGCCCAAAGGGAAAAACTTACGCATCAACCTAATAACTTTTAGAAGACGTAAAATTCTAGGCAAATATATATATATATATATATTTATGTATATTGTACATCTTTATACAATACTGAATATTGGTTAACTAAACCAAATATTCAGCTTTTTGAGTTTTTGCCAGTAGGAGTGGGAGTTATTATACATGATCACGTCATTAATATAAATGTGTTTAGAAGTAGTTAACTAAGGCACAATGCTCCAACTAGTTTGATAGTCAAATTAATTTAAATCAAGTGATATATTTTAGCCTACAATAACAATCATCCAAGTAGTCTGAGAAATAAATGCTTTTTTTAATTCTATAACTCAAAGCATGTTTTAACATTTATAACATTTGACCCTAAAACTGCAGTTGTGGGTTTCTCTAAGATTAATTCAGCAACTTGAAATTTATGGAAATTTACAAATTTCAAACCTAATTCATCTTGTTGAAAACATTCATCTTTCTTGGCAACTAGAAAAAACAACCAATATTAATAGTGTGTGTAATTAAAATATATTTACCTGGGGCCTTGTTTATAAGACAAGAATATTTTTATTATATTAACATTTTATTGCAAGATAGAAAAGAAATGTAAAATTAGAGGCAATTCCTTCCTTCCTTTCTCCCTTTCTTCCTTTATTTCTTTTCTCATTCCTTTCTTTCGTCCTCTCTCTTTCTCCCTTCTTCTCTCCCTTCCTTCCTCCTTCTCTTCTTTCTTTCTTCTTTCTTCATTTCACCATATAACACAAGATAATCTGTTTTCTTTCTAGGTGAGCCAAGGCATCATTCGTGGATAGTCAAGGTGTGTTCCTGCAAGTTATGCTAAATGGAATCCCATCTGTAGGAACTGGATTTGGACAAATTAAGAAATCCAAAACGTGCCATTTGTTTATCATTGTATATAAGCTACGTTGCTATTGGTCAAGTTATTAAGTTGTAGTCGATTTGCTAATACTTTAGCCAGAGTGTATTGAAAGTGTGATTACCGATAGAAAATACCCAAATTCATCTAATTCTAAAAAATCATTGTCTAAATCATTATATATTCCTGCTTCTTACTTTTTTAAAAATACTTCCAACAGGGAATGCCAGCCCATGGAGACAAATTTAATACCATTTTAGATTTTCTTCCATCTTTTCAGTTCCTGAATTATATAATAAGCAACATTAAAACCACATTGTTTTTAAACCGTGTAACATATGATGCTTTTAAATTTAATGTTGCTTCAATGTATTTAATCTAAAACTTGATGAAATTTGTTTGATTTGCTAGGTTAGGACATTTTGTTTTAGTAGATGCTTTAACTCAGATCAATCACCCTGCTGTAAATCTCATCCCTGAGTATGAAATGTTGTCAACAAATAGCCAGTTCCGTTTAGTCATCAATTAGCCGAAATAAGTAATACACAGTATAACAGGGACCAATCTTGTGCAGTCAAGTAAATTCAGACTTCTAATGACATAGAGGCTAATGTCTTTAGCTAAGGGTTGATCTTGTTGGCCACATAGATGTGAACTAGGGAAAGGGAATCTACTTATAGCGCATCACAATTGATCCTTATTAAATATAAACTCTTGTAGTTCTTTTCCCAGAAAGAAGCTTGACTAGCAGGAATTCTTAAACTAAAATATGTGAAGCAATATAAGTAGGAACAGACATAAATTGCTCATCTATTAAAGCCTTTAGTGATCTGATTTATTTGCTGTGATTTATACTGTATAATTTCTGGATTTATAGAAAATCATCAAAAAGATTATTTCTGTGCATATGAATACAAATATTGCCTAATCCATAGAAAAATAGAACTAGAATGTTAAATATGTGTTATCTATCTATCTATCTTCCTACCTAATAGGGAAGTTTAGTCACTTCAATTCAACAAACATTTTGGGGGGCACCAGCATCAGGTCCCATGCTGGGCAAGGGAGTGGGGGAGATTAGAGAAGAGAACTATGTAATTGAAGTAGAATGGTCCTTACCCTTAAGTAGCTTATAAATAATGATTGGCCTGAATGAATATACCAGAACATAGACATCAAATGAGTGTAATTCCTTTAAAGTAGATAGAAATGTGTATTCTTTTCCACAAAATATGATGCCTTTGCTTGAAATTACTTTTGAGTTGTACTTCAGAAACAGTAACATATTGTTAATATGAATAATCATGGAAAATTGTCATCCGTTGAAAATCAACATATATACTTCCCCGCCTTTGGAAATAGTCAAAAGCTACTTGGAACAAGTATCAAAATAAAAGAAGGTAGCAAGCAAGGCAATGGAACACGTTTTCCTACATGCTGTGTGCTGGCTCTGAGGCCATTGCAAGAAGGACTCCCAAAACATTTTTTTTGTGTGTGTGTGAGGCAGATCAGCCCTGAGCTAACATTCAATGCCAATCCTCCTCTTTTTTGCTGAGGAAGAATGGCCGTGAGCTAACATCCGTGCCCATCTTCCTCTACTCTATATGGGACGCCACCACAGCATGGCTTGACAGGCAGTGCCTCGGTGAGTGCCTGGGATCCGAACCTGTGAACTGCGGGCCGCCGGAGAGGAGCATGTGCACTTAACCACTGCGCCACCTGGCCGGCCCCTCCCAAAACATTTTTAATGATGGCAATATCAAATAAGTATATGTCCTCTCAAAAGGGCAATTTTAATAGATGAAACTGATTTGGGCGCTCACGTTCTGGTACATTTACTAAAAGTAAGCTTCTTTATTTTTATAGCTATGTCCTATTATTCCCTTTTCAAAGATGAATCAAAATAAGTGCCAAATTTAGCATTTTTTTCAGGTCTAAGGAAACCAATATTGAATCCTTGATAAATATTTTATGATGTCACTAGCTATAGGAAATTAGAACTGGCATAACCCTGACATTACTAAATGAGATTTTTAAGAATTTTCTGGCATCACATTTTACAGTTGCTAAAATTAATAATTCACATTAAACAATGAATTAAAATCTTTTTATCAATATGAATTCTGGAGGCCAACACCATTAACTATCAAAACTTTTAATTCCTAAAAATGAGAGTTTTAGAGATAGATATTTAAATAATGTTCGCTCATTTCCATGTATAAGTGTGTTTATGACAAAATCCACGAGTCTGTTTAACCGTGATTTCTTTAATTTATATTGACTTATGTTCAACGTATTCCAGTAATTTCTGTCAAGAGAAGAACTTGAAATAGTAAGTTGCCATATAATTAACCGGATTACCACACAGTGACCCTAACCACTTGGCACCGGAGCTAGAAACTCAAAACTGACTGCCTCTTGATTAGGTGTTTGTCCTTTTGTAGATCCAGCCTCAGGTAACAAGTGGAGTAATTGTATTTGTGGATGTGTTTGTTCCCGGAGTCTTCCTTGTCGTGGTAATAAATAAGTTATTAAAAAATTATCTTGTGTTTCTTTTTTGGTAATAATCTTGGTGATATTTATTATTATATATTTCCCTCTAAGGAATACCATATGTTCAAATTTGCAAGCTGGGATTGTTGTTCATTGTGAAGTTACACACACTGGCCACATTGCTGAGGAAAGAATCTCGGAAAGAATGTAGGTTTAAGAGCCGAGGCTTCATTGCCATGTGTCCAGGCAGCGTGTCCTTGCTGTGCTTCTCAGAGCCCCACTTCCCATCCGTGTAGAGAGCTCCCTCACAGGGCCTGTGCAAAGGTGCTCCATGAGACGGTGTATAGAAAGCAATCTGAATACTGTAAAGCACTTCAAATATAAGGTAAAATTTATAGTATTATAAACATACAATTAGAGAGGTAGCTTCAGGCCTGAAACATTCTATTGCTGTTTTAGAAGCTAAGTTAGGCTACTTTGAAAATGTCACTATTAGAAAAATGATAGGAGAACATTTTGCTAAATATTAACATTCTATCTCTAGGTAGTAGTATTTGGGATAATTTTTATTTCCTTCCTTGTACATTTTCTTCCAATGTTCTGTATTTAAAAAGCCTTTTATAATTATTCAAATGAATATTTTAGAAAAGATATTCTTTCTCTTCAATCTTTATAGGGCAAATTATAATAATTGAATTTTTAAAAATTAAATTTTATGCCATGTGTTTAAAATGAAGGCTAGGAATACATTAATTCCAATTGATTTTAAAGTCTTATTTCACAGAATGGACTCATTTGTGTAATTTTAAAAATTTTACATTGCATACTTTTCGATTATGCTGTTATTAAAAGCAGTGCTGTATACCCTTTGATTCTCCACTAAATGTTGTTTCACGCATAAAGTGCCCAAAGTTGTGTCTAATTTCATACAAAAGTCACTGCTTTGTAAACATGTACATAGTTAGCATTGTAAAATACTTTCAAAATTAGCTGTGACCAAAAAAGTTGCAGTTAAGACTTTCTTGAGTGGATACCTTTCTAATGAAATTATGTGGCTTCGCGTACAGTGGTCCCCAGACCACTTTGCACTGTGATTTCATCAAGGACCCTACAGATGGCATGTAAGAGAAACATGTAAACTGGAAATTAACAGGTCTTCCAGTAAGAGCGTGCCGCGGGAAACTCCCATCCACCTGTGACCCTGAAAGACAGCGTGCATCAGTTCATCTCATTGGCAGGGCAGGGAATTGGGGGAGTCTGTCCTGGCACAGCTCCCTGGCACAACTCGCGCCTCTCACTCTCATCCCAACCTTCTCAGAGCCCATCTTTATTTAAAATTTCGATATCATGGATTTTTTTGAATTAATTTGATTTTTTAAAATATTATATTAAAATATGTTTATCTTGATCACTGAATTTTTTGCCACCTTCTTATCTTAGGGTCTGTTCATTAAGTCTGGGATAAATTCCAGAAAGCATACCACGGGTAAATAGACTGTGACAACTGCATCTTTATGAGCATGATTATAATGATACAAATGGTACGAAATAGTTATTTTAATGCCATGTGAAAACTAAAACATTAAAAATGTTTAAAATATCTTACTTCTAACGGTGTGCAGGGGGAAATGTTGAGCATATATGATTCTTCCTTTTTGACATTGTTTCTCCAAATACCTTTTTTTCATTGCACAAAGCATGTTTTCCTATCATCAATTTTAGGGATCCTTTCTGTCTTCAATATGCTACTAATTGGAAAGGTAGCAGTGATTTTTTTATTCAAGGATGCAAGGTTTTTAACACCAAAGATAATTAGTACATGTTTAATACAACATTGTGTCCAGATCTGCAAAGTGCCAAATGCCAGCAAAACGCCAATATTCATAACATTATGCAATAGCGGTAATCGGTTGGTACACGCTTATAAAACCTATCATTTATTCACTTAGCAATTATTTTAATTGCAATTGTTTGTAAAGTCATCAATCGGCTTTTCAATCTTGCATGTGCATTTTCTTGGGGGAAGGTGTTTTCACACAGCCTCAGTCACCAAGCGTCATGGCCTCAGGTGATGCCATCTAAGATACAAGGACAGTCTATGATGTGTTCTTGACATATTACAAGTTTCCTTTAGACTTTTAAAGAGATTTCCTGGTAATTCTGCAGTGACAACTACATTTCCTATCAGAAATAACCTCTCTTATCTATATCAAAAGAATTATTACATTTATGTTATTTCCATTTGCATCAATTTATAGTTGTAATCAACTGAGGAAACATTGTTTTATTTAATTTTTCCTGTTGTATTTTAGAGCCTGCAAGGAAAAAAAAAAAAAACCTGTAGCACAGTGAGAAGAAGAGCCTTCATCCTCTCCCTGAGACTGTCATAGCCACAGAGATAAGTTGCCCTTGGGATTGTTTTTACGATAAGAAAGATTTCCTGGGATCTGCCCCTATTTCAAATAATCAATGTAGTCCCACCAATCTAAGCAAAACTAGTTGGTCCAATTTCTGCAAGAATTTGAGACAGAAAGTGAGGTAAAAATAAATACTATCATTTCAATTGTCATTGAGATAGTCAAATAAACAAATTTGGGGATTTCTAAAATCTGTTTTCATAGAAAGCTGATGCCTGTCCAGAAAAGTGTTGGGTTTTGTGTGTAGTCTTCCTGCCATGTAGGTGGCAGCAACACTCAAGGCTAGAAATTTTCTTTCACATTCTCTTAGCTCTAGTCCAAAGCATATTCTTACTAAAAATCCTTGCGGAAGAGAAAAGGTTTAAAGTGTAGAGACAAATTTTTCTATGTCCTCACATATCTCTAAAGCACTATTTTAAGGTTGTGCTAAAGTGGTTCCCATAATGTGAAAACATTTATCCTTTCCCTTAATACAGAAGTCATATTCTGCTCTCGTATGTCTCGGTAGTATTAGGTTTCTGTTTCTTTATTTACTAGGATCTTACTTCTTTACCTTCTCTCAGGCTAAAGCCTTTCTTTGAAGAAAAAGGAAGAAAACTCTGCTTTATTCCACTACCACCTAAGCTTTTCTGGGAAATGGTAAAAGTCTGCCCCTTTATTCTTTGTAAGCATCTAAGAAGCTAGAGTATTTAGTCAATGTGGAGAGATTTTCCTTTAGTCTTCCAATGAAGCCATTTTCTCTGATTGTCCTAATGAGAGGCGACTGCATTCAAGTTAGCTCTGTGTGCAAATCAAATGAAGGCTATGTCTGAGCAAAGAGGCCCAGGACGCCTGAAAGGGAGGCTGGAAGACAGAGGACACACAGGCTAACAGTGAGGGTGTTGAGTCATTGCGTGGATGTGGGTCACTGCCTTGAGAAATCTAGTGGCTCGTTACCCAGGCAGAATGAAACCAGGATGCCCACCTTATATAAATAAGTTTGTTCTTAGGTTGGAAACTGATGAGCAGTAAGCTTTTCTTCAATTCCTGGCATTTTTATAGAACTAATATATGTTATAGCAAACATAGGCAGCTTTTTACATAGGCTTGGTCAACGTGTCCAAAATACTAAGCAA